TTTTTTTTGAGACAGGGTCTTGCTGTGTAGTTCAGGCTGGCCTTAAACTCACTATGTACCCCAGCCTCAAACTCGTGGTGATCCTCCTGCCTCAGTCTCCCAAGTGCTGGGATTACAGGTGTGTACCACCACACCCAGCCCATAAAGTCCCTAAATGACCTGGCATTTGCCTCCCTTCCCTGATGTGAATTCTAGGGGAGAAGGGTCTTCTTCTACCTGTTCAGTGTTCTGACTTAGGAGCTAATACTTTGTTGATGTGTTGAGCACACCATAGTTGCTCAACAAAGGTTTGTTTTTTAATTAATTAGTCAGTAATTAATTAATGCTAGTTTCTTTAACTATGCGCCAAAAAGTGTTAACATTTGTTTCTTGAGGGATAGTTTTGCCAGGAAATCAGAATCCCTTTCTGATTCACTATACCCAAAATAGACATGGAATTGCATCAAATTAAAAGCTCTCCACAGCAAATGAAACAATCATCAGAGTGAAGATACAAGCTATAGGATGGGCAGAAATATTTGCATTAATATCCAGAATATATAAGGAACTGAAAAAAATTAATAGCAAAAAACAAATAATCCAATTTTTTATTATCTTTTTTTATTCCCATACTGGGAATCAAACTTAGGACCTTGCACTTGCCAGGCAGGCACGGTGCTGCTGAGCTACATCCCCAGCCTGCAATCTTTAAAATGGGCAAGAGACCTAAATAGACATTTGTTAAAAGAATAGCCAACAAGTATATGAAAAAAAGTCAACATCATTAATCATTAGGGAAATCAAAATCAAACAATGAGATATCACCTCACTCCAGTCAGGATAACTCTTAGCAGAAAGTCAAAAGACAAAGAATGCTGGCAGGAATGTGGGGGCAGGATTCTTACACATTGTGGATGAGAATATAAACTAGTACAACCACCATGGAAAATATTGCAGAGGTTCCTCAAAAAATTTAAAATAGAGCTATTGTATGGTCCCGCAATTCCACACCTGGGTATATAATCCCACTCCTGAGTAGGATGACTATAGATAAAAATTATATATTACATATTTCTCGAGCTAACAAAAGGATTTTGAATGCTTTTATCATAAAAAATGATAAATATTTAAGGATATAGAAACATTGAACCTGATTTGAACATTATACAATCTATCCAAAATCACATGGTACCCATTAATATTGTTCAACCTAGGATCCAACCAGGCTTGTCTGCTACTTCTTATGTGTTCATTTGTGCTTTCTCTTTTTTTGTGTTCCTGTGGTTTTTAATTTTTTAAAAATATTTTTCTTGTCTTCCCCTTCTTTATGGTTTAGCTTTAGCTTTCACATGACTTTCTCTTTTCTTCTATATGCTTCATTTCCACTTTTTCCTATAATTTTCTCTCTTAATTTAGATGCTACAAGACATTGTGTATTATACACCCTACCTTCCTTTTTCTAGTGTTTTCATTAAATACATACAGTATATTTAAATTTTTTTTACTGATACATAAAAACATAAAGATTGTACATATTAATGAGCTACAGCTCATCTCTTTCTTGCTCTCATTAGCTCATTCTCCATTTAGGTCTTTCTTTGGTCTCTATGTTTCTGTTTCCATTGCTTTTTCAACTTTGATCCTAAGGACAATTCTTGGCTCAGAAAAACCAACTGTCACTTAAGTGTCCTCAGAAAACCAAGTAGTAGACACGATCGCTCTACCTGTTCCCTTCAAGATCACATACATAGGTCACCATTGGGGATTGGTCAAAGGTCCCTGGCTCCTTCTTCAGCCACTTCTCCAGCTCTTGCATTGTTGATTTCCCTTGGTGTGCTTGGGTGACTCCTCCTGTCTGCAGTTCTGTGCTTGACCTTTGCCCCTTGGCAGAACACCACGTAAGGCTCATGCCTCACCCCCTTCTAGGTTACCTTTTCCATGACTCCCCTCAATTCCTAAAATATCCAGAACATTTGTGGCCTATTTCTCTGTTAAAGTTTAGTCACACATCTGTCTCTAAAGAATAGGCTGACCTGATGGGTGAAGATTGATAGCCCAAATTTTAAAACCAGGACAAACCTTTCTGTAAAGTCTAGGCCATCCAGCAGTCCAAACAAACAGAGAGGAGCTGGTAGATGTTGGGGCCAGAGCCAATGTCAACCTGGTCTCCCTCCGCCCCACCTGACAGGAATAAAGAAGGGAATATGAAACAACATATAGCAGCAGACAGAACTGAATTTACATTGTCTTCCCTCAGACTGTGCCAGAGATACCCAAAGACAGACCGCCACACTCTTCACAGCTCAAAATCCATTTTAAAAACATCTTTTCATTTTCCATTCCCCATCCAGGATGGAGGCATGTTTAGCTGACCTATTTTAAAGTCCAGAAGAAGAAAAAAGATCTACATCTAGGGTACAGATCCCTGATCCAGAAACACTACTATACAGATAACGTAAAAACTATTAAGGAATATTTTTGTGAGGAAATTATTTTCTTTGTTCAAAAATGTAGTTCATATAATGTCCCCCCAAAACCTCCACCCAGTTCTTAACATGTTGGGAGGTCTTTACCTAGTGCATATTCCAATAAATATTAGACTCTCAGGCTCTTAAGTGGCCCATTGAGGGTTAAATGGTTCCCTGAGTCACCTTAACAAATCAATGCAGACTCAGGACAGCACTCAGGCCCTCAGATTTCCCTTCTGCGTGAGCAAATGAGATAATGGATATCAAAGCACTTTGTGAATTATAAAATAGCTAAACCAGCATTAATCTTTATCCTAGCTAAGTAAACAGGTTAAACAAACAGGTGAAGCCCAAAAGGCTGTCAAATAATGACAGCCAGACACAAACCTGGCCAGACTTTGAAATCTATGACTCCCGCTGACAGGAAACACAACCAACAAACTTACCAGGGAAGAATATCTTGAAAAGATTTGTCAGCAGGTGCCTAAGAATTTGGTTTTCTACAGAGTGTCTGGACCCAAAATTGTAATATTTTTCTAGAAAGCCCCGAGGGTTAAAATGTCTTAAGTAAGTGTCCCTGGAGGGGAAGCCAGATTCCATTGTCTCCCACTTGTGTGCCACCAGCCCACTGCTCACTTCCCTCTCTGGCAGAAGCCAAGGAGTTGCCTTGCCAAAGTGTTTCCCTGAGCCTTGGGCTATCAATCTTCACTCCATCAGTTCAGCCTACTCCTTAGAGACAGATGTTTGGCTAAACTCTAACAGAGAAATAGGCCACAAATGTTCTGGATATTTTAGGAATTGAGGGGAGTCTTGGAAAAGGTAACCTAGAAGGAGGTGAGGCATGAGCTTTACGTGGTGTTTTGCCAAGGGGCAAAGGTAAACCACAGAACTGCAGACAGGAGGAGTCATCCAAGCACACCAAGGTAATTATTTAACTCAGAAGAACCCCAAAGTTCAGAGAAGTGGCTCATTTCTGAACAACACCATCATTTCTCTCACTCTTGCAGTTTCCCCCAGAAAAGCGAGGCAAAATAATGGTTTCGCTTTAAGCATGCTGGAGAAAGAAAAAAAAGTAGAGGAAATGTGTTCAGGGCTAAGGAATGTTGGCTAAAGAAGGAATCTCAGATGCAGTCTGGAAAGAGTAAATTTAAAAACCTGTACAAGGCTTTGTGTGAAGCCTAGGCCATCCAGCACTCCTGTAACTCTCTCCTTGTGTTCCAACACTCCCCACCCCAGTCCTACACATCTGCAGCTTTAGCCTCTGCTAGCACTGCTCAACATCCCCACACTCCTTACTGCTTTCACGCAGTTCTAATCCTGAGAGTTCTTCCAAAGTAAACTCTATGCCTCTGCTTCCTTACATTTCCATTTCTAAACCCTTTTTTTTTTTTGGACTGGGGATCAAACTCAAGCAAGGCAGGCACGGTGCCGCTGAGCTAAATCCCTGGCCCTTCTGAACCCATATTGCTCTTAGAATTCATTCCACCCAACCAGGCACTTGATATTGTGCCATTATATATTTGCTCCTGGCTTTGTCTGTGAATTTTGCTTCCCAAACTAAATATTACTTATGTGAAAAACTACATCATCAGCCCCCTTAAATCAAGGCCTATGGCTCAAGTTTTCAGTTCTCTTACTCTACCTTATGTATTGTTTCCTTTACTAGATGTTCAAAACACTGGTTGGTTAATTAGCTGTTGTCATATTGTTACAAATGGTAATGTAGTAAGTGTCCAGTACTCTGTGAATGATGATTTACCAAGGGCGCTTTGGTTACAAGGTACAGAGACTCAAAGAATCTCAAGGAAAGGGAAAATCAACAAAAGAATATAATGAAAACAACAAGGTATCTAATTTGGCCTTGTGAACCTAAAAATCATTAAACAGCATAGTTTTCTTTCTAGTCCTTTGGAGGGCTGGTGGCCTTTTGTCTACAAATTGGCTATTTCTTTCACTCATCCACACCATGTAGCTCCATTCTGCTATTCAAAATGGTGGCACAGGGCCAGGGATTTAGCTCAGTGGTTTTGCCGCCTGCTACACAAGTGCAAGGACCCTAATTCGATCCCTGGTACCAAAAAAAAAAAAAAAAAATGGTGGCATCTGCACCTGAGCTTATGTCAGTCACTGACTCTGCCCACTAAGTAGTGGTAGTGGAGAATAGTTAAAGGATATGTGTGTGGTATTAATACTGCCTCCAACAGGAAGTTAGATGGGGCAGGCACATTGCCTTGCATTACTGCAACTACTGAATTTTCAAAAGCCAACCTACAGATCTGAAGGATATGTAATCAAAGAGAGATTTTTGTGAATGATCCCAAAACTCTGCTACTGCAACCTGCACTCTTCCTGCTTCTCGGGACTGGCCTGGTCATGGGGCACAGCAGGAAGAATTCTGAACTCAAAGTCAAAGGACACAAGTTGCTGCCCTGGTTTGCTGCCAAAAATGTGTATAATAATAGGCAAAGAAATTCACACATCAGATTAGGTGTCCAAAATAGGAATAATAATATCTGTTCTATCTAAGATTGAAAAATTTAAATCATAGCTTACTTTATATTTAATTCTTGCTTTGGGAAATATACCCTATTCCCACTCATAGGTGAATTTACCAGGAAACTTTGAAAATAGTTCATATATCCCTTACTTATGGCCTTAATACTACAAATCCCTTGCCTCTCACTTTATCATGAGGTGAATGATGAAGATCAATTTTATTTAAAATTCTACTAGAATCCTGGGCAATACAATGAGATAAATAAATAAATAAATAACCTCTTTTTATTATTAGCAGATAACATGATGACCTATTATTAAAAAATGAAAAATAAATATAAATTACTAGAATTAATACAAGAGTCTACCAAAAACATTTTTTTTGAAGAGTAGGAAAATTTATTGGGGAATAGGAATAGCTCCTGAGAGACAGAAAGGGTCCCAAATAGGTTGCCCCTACAAATTTTTGAACTCGAAATCAATAGAAAAAATTAAATTCATTTCTAAATAGCCACAGGTATAAAATGAACTTTAAAAAAGACTTTGACCACAATGCCATTAAAAAAAACAAAGTACCTAGGAATAAATCCAACAAAATAAGTTCGTGATATTCATGGAGAAAATTATAAAAGTTTATTGAAACATATTAAAGAAGATCTAAATAAATGGAGATATACACCACTTCATAGATTAAAGGCCTCAACATTGTAAAAATGTCATTTCTCTCCAAATTGATTTATATACTCAGTAAAATCCCAATTAAAATCCCAATAGGTTTTTTTTGGAACTTGACAAGCTGGCTCTAAAATTTATATGACAGTGCCAAGGGCCAAGAGTAGTTACTCTTAAAAAAATAAAGTGGGAGGACTTGCTCTACCAGATATAAATATTTATTATAAAGCTATAGTAACTAAGACAGTGTGGTTTTGGCACTAGAACTGAAAAATAGACCAACAGACTGGAGTAGAGGGGCCATGAACAGACTCTGACCTTTACGCACATTTGATATATGGCAGAGATGATAGCTCAGATCAATGGGCAAAGAGACAGACTTTCATAGATAGTGTGAAGATAATTGAGTATTCATAGGGAGGAAAATGGAGTTAGACACTCACTTCACACTACACACAAAAATCAACTAAGGCTTATTAGCAAAGCATACATGAAGGGCAAAACTCTATAAAGATTTAGAAGGTAATATAGAAGAGTATCTTCCTAACCTTGGGTGTAAGAAAGGTTTTCTTAAATCAGACACAAAACCCACTAACTGTAAATGAATGATTTATAAATTTGAATATATAACAATAAGAATGTCTATTCCAAAGACAGTTTAAGAGTCTGAGGAGACAATCCACAGAATGAGAAATGATATTAGAACACATAAAACTGACAAAGTACTGCGATCCAGAATTTATAAAGAACTACTATAAATCAAAAGGAAAATAAAGAAGAAAACAGAAGACCTGAACAGACCCTTTCCAATTGAGGAAATCCAAAAGACCAAGAAACCTATATCTCAACAGAGAAGTACAAATTAAACCACAATGTGATATGATTACACAGCCATCAAACTGGAAAAAAGTGACATCTGACCAGCACAAAGGCCTCTGACCAGCACACACCCTCCTAACCTTACAGTGGACATATAAATGGATTCCTCATTCTGAAAACCAACCTGGCATTAACCAGAGGAGTTGCATTTGTTCATGTTCCATGTCCACCAATTGCAATCCTAAGTATATACCCAGAGAAAATCTGGCATGTGTCAACATATGCACACACACATACACACGATCTTAGCAGCACTGTTCAGAACAGCCTGTGTTCTGAACTAGAAACAACCTAAGTGCCCAGTGTTATGGTTTAGATATGAATATCTCCCCAAACCCTCATGTGCTCATAGGTGGAGTTTTCAAATGGTTATTGAATCATAGCAGTGATGTAGCTGACTTCTTATTAGGAGGTGGGGTCTGGTCAGAAGACATGAGTCACTGGGGCATGATCTGAAGGCTGTCTCTCTCCCAGGTTCCTCCCTTAGCTCTCTGCTTCCTGACCGCCATTATGTGAGCAGCTTTTCTTCCACTAAGACCCACTCCCATGCCATTTTCTGCCTTGCAGTCTGTGGACTATGGACAGAAAATGGAGCCAAAGTAAATCTCTCCTCCTTTTTTTTTGTTTTTGTACTGGGGATCAAACTCAGGACCTTGTGCTTGTGAGGCAGGTGGCAGAACCACTGAGCTAAATCCCCGGCCCCTATTTCCTCCTTCAAATTGTAGGTGTCAGGTATTGTGTCGTAGCAACAAGAATGTGACTAAGATACTCAGAAACAGAAGAATAAATAAATATTGGTGTATATAGCAAGGGAAATAAATTACGGTTACAGCCATTAATGTGAATGGTTCTCAAAATGATGTAGGGTAAAAGAATCGAGTCACAAAGATCTTTTTTGATTCTCTTTATATAAAGTTCAAAACAGACTAAAGTAAACTGTATTCTTTAGTGATACTTAAATGGGTGGGAAAAGTATAAAGAAGTCCAGTGGAATGATTAGGTCTGATGTCAGGATAATGTTTGTCTCTGGGTGGACAGCAAAGAGAGGAACTAGGGTGTTATAGTTTAGATCCGGAGTGTTCCTCAAAGGCTCATGTGTTGAAGGTTTGGTCCCCAGAATGGAGAGATGGTGGAAACTTCAGGAAGCAGGGCCTACTTGAAGGAAGGAGGTCATAGGCATGTGCTTTTGAAGGGTATATTTTTGTCTCCAACTCCTTCCTCTCTCTCTCCACTTCCTGGACCCATGAGGTGAGGAGCTTTTCTCTGCCATGCCCTCCCTGCCACTGATGTCCTGCCCCACCACAGGCCCAGAAAACAGCAGAGCCAAGTGATCATGAGCTAAAACCTCTGAAACTGTGAGCCAAAACAAATCTTTCCTTCTTTAAGTTGACTTTCTCGGATATTTTGTCACAGCAATGAAAAGCAGATTAACAAAGTGAGATTGTGCGCAGGCCAGAGAACACAGATACTTCTAAGACCCTGCGGTGTTAACCAGTGTTCACTTTAAATTAATCGTCATGTAAATATTTTTTTGAAATTTTCTATACTATGTA